GAGGTAAAGTCCGGATGGGTCAAGGAGCTCAAGAATCAAGCGCGGGACCACCAGAGACTTCAGAGCTGCGTGGAACAGCCGAGCCTAAGTAAATGACCAACAGACTGGACTACAGGAAAATATTTCACATATGTTGCAAAATAACCAACAAGGAAGCCAGGGAGAGAGAACCGGACAGCTATGTAAAGAGACCAGGTATACTGATGAGAAGCATATGCCCTCCCCACAAACAGACACAAGGATACGAACGGACAACTCGTAAAAGAAAAAAAGTAACTAGACAAACATATGAGGTAGTTAGTCTTTGACCTCACTAGGCAACAAACTGGAATAATCAGGTGTGACTGGTCGCCTGCTGAAACGACTTCTCAGGCGGTAAGCTGTCCGATGCTGGCGACGGTGCTGGCACGCGTGGCCTGTGGCTGCGTGGATGAGAACGAATCTTCAGAGGCCACCTGGGTAAAGAACCACGGCAGTGTCCGCATGCCTCGACCCACACAACCGCAGCTCCAGGACCCTTCCTTTCCTATGGAAATCATTCCAGATTTGGCAGACACATACACAAAATGGGTCACTTAAAAATTTTAGTAGTAAAACTTTAGAAATGAATTGGATGTCCTTTTACAGGAAACGATGATTTTGAAAACTGAGGCAAAAGCTCTGATGTGCTCACCTGCAAGGCAAAATTAGTTCTCGACGTCTGCACTCGGGACAACCATGGGCGGCCGCCACTCTCCCCTAGGCAGCGCGGGCCCTGCTCGCCACGCGGGCTCCCTTAGGAGCCAGGGACTCTCTCCAGGCCTGGCCTTGCGAGCCCGCTCTGGGCAACTCTCACTCCAAAGCTTCATCTCGTGACGCATCTGACTCTGTCTGCAATTCCGACCACACCAAACGCTTCAAGGCACCAGGGTGACTGGTCTCCCTTTGTCCAAAGCGCCCTTCCTCAATCCTTCCTATGTTTCATTTTTGCTCAGATCAGGCACTGAGTCCCTCGGGAGTAACGGGGCTCTCTCATCCCGCTGCCCCCTCCGTGCCTGGTGCAGATGCAGGGTGTCTCCGCATCCGCACTTCCAGCTGCAAGGTGGGAGCGTGAATTACGGGAGCCTGCCTGCTCCGCGTCTGGTGCAGACACGGTGATTCATAGGTGTTTGCTGGACAAACTGGCTGGGCAAACAGCACCTCGTGGTTTACTGGTTCACCTGGCACCGGCTCAAAGCTCCCAGACCCCGTGTCTTTTCAGTAAACAGGTCTGTCTGACAAATGCATGGGTGGCTTATCAGACATATGGGTGGGCCCCAGGGCACACACCCAGAGCACGCACCCAGAGTCCTGTGAGAGGAGCCTCTCACCCGGAATACCTGCGGCCCACTCCTTCACTCCCTGGCAGCCTTCCTTTGAGGACGTCTTGGGTTTCAGCTCTCCGCCGGGGCTGCCCAGGATGAAAAGTGGAGCCGCGGAGGGCAGACCATTGGCGGCTCTGGACCTCAGCGCAGCCCTATCCGCTTACAAAGCTCTCTGCCCGTCTGAGTGCCACCAGTGCAGAGATGCTGATCCAAATCTCTGTCGAAACCCGGCTAGGTCTGTGTAAATGCTGCTTAAAAAGCGTTGAGGAAAAGGCACCTCTCTGTGGAAACCCTGCCTGGTGGAGCCCGTCTATCACTGCGATAATAAGCTGCAAATGGGATGGAAGTCGTCGGGCCCTGTCCTCAGTGCCGGAGAATCACTGCACGCTCCGCAGCCTTCCGGGCCCTGGGCTGTCCAAGAGCACGGGAAGGCGCAGGGCTCCTGGCCCGGCGGCGCCCGCGGTGTCCCGAGTGTGCATCTCCTCCCCAGCCTTCTCCGGTCTCCCAGCACCCACCGAGGTGCTCGGCCCCCAGGCCAGAGGCTTCCCTGGACAGCTCCCTCTCAGGCACCCTGCATTCCAGCCCCACCCAGTTCTGCCCGCCGCATCTCCTAAACACCGCAGGGTCCATCCCGTCTGTCTGTCCCGTCTGTCCACCACGACTCGCCCCACTCCGCTCACCCTCGTGGCACCCCCGGCCCAGGCCCAGAGCCCTCTGCCTCCTCCAGCTCTGGCCGACCGGTGCCCTTCCCCTCCAACCCCCACCCGCAGGAAGGCATCTGAGAGCAGCCAGAGGGATCCTTTTAAAAACTGAAAACCAGTCTCACCCCCTTGCCGCAAGCTGTTTAGTGAGTCCGGCTGCTTCTGGGACGGAAGTCACAGTCGTGGATGTGGTTGGAAGGATGCTGCTCTCATTAGCATTCATTCTCAAACACGTGCTGAGCACCAGCTCCGCTCTGGAGACGCAGAGGCAGGAGGAGCTCTCGCTCCCATGCGTGCTGAGCTCGGCGCTGGGCGCACGCCGCACCCAGACACAGCGGGCCCTGCTCGCGCCCCGCAGAGCGCCGGCCGGGCCCCTCGGGAGGGGCTGTGGATTGGCCGCAGCCCCCAGTTTCCCAGAGGGTCACGGCGTGAAAACTCCCCCAGATCACAGAGCCTTTTCCGCTTACCACGTCTGCCACCCAGCCGTGCCCACAGATGGAACACACGTGCGGTTGTGCCCACCCAGTGTCCTCCAGGTCACGACGCTGCGGGGTGTGCCACGCCCCGTCCTCAGAGTGAGTGCGACCACACTTTAGGAGATGGATAAGCCAGTAGGGCACAGAGAGGTCAAGTAACTGGCCCCGCATCGTGCAGCTAATCGGTGGGGGAGGCAGATCTGCAAGGAGTTTCCAAAACCTGAATGGGACCAGCACCCTTCAGGGTGACCACTCGCCTCCCCGCGGGGCAGCCTCACGCGGAAGCTCTGTCCTTCCCCCCCACGGTCCGCCCACCCCCTCAGCCGCAGCTCAGCCCAACAAGGTAGCTTGGAACTCCCCACAAACTCAGCACATGGGCCAGAGGAAGACAACGTGGACACTCCTGACCCCACACCAAGAGTGGACAGGGAAACAGGGCTGCGTCCACCTGCAGGGATAGCCCCAAGGGGTCAGGACTGCGAGTCCCAGAGACATTTCCTCAAGGGCCTGGGCCTCTTCCTGCAGAGGGGCAGGCCTCGGGCCGGCAGGGACTTGGTCCCCCAGTGCTGGACACGTCTCCCCTCCAAGGTCCTCCCTCGTGCTCCCCCGTCCTGTTGCCCTGGTACTGGCCATGCACTTGGTGCTGTGCAGCCTCCCAGGTGGCTCTGCCGGGCCCTGCAGCCACCTTCTCCAGTGAGAGCTGGTGTTTGGGAGCAGGCTTCCCGCCAAGAACACCCCCTTGGGGCTGAGAAACACAAGCCCAGCCCCGAGCCACCCGCCAGCAGGGACAACGGCCTAAGGACGTCCACCAACCGGAGGGCAGCTCGCCCTCCGTCGGTCACTTAGGTTCAAGGTCGAACCCCCTGCTCAGCGTTTACGGACCATCCCACCTGTCCCCACCTTCATGATTTCATTTCCAGCCACAGGAAACCCCTAGGCCTTCCCCCAAGTACCCGTCTTCTGGGCTCTTCCTCCCTTCCTAACCCTCCCTCCTCTGGCCAGCACACGGCACTCGCCTTCGAGAGCCCGTTGGACATCACCTCCTGCACGCCACCTGCCCCCTTCCCCAGCGAGTTCTCATCGCCAGCTTGTCGTGTTTCCCTGTTGCTCACAGCTCCCCCACGGCACGGCTCCAGGCAGCCACGTGCCTGTCTGTCTGTCTGTCCATCTGTCTGTGTCGGCCCAAGTGGACGGCGGTCTCCTGTACTGCAGGGAGGCACAGCAGAGCCTCGCCTGACCCCCGGGGTGACCGGGATCCGTAAATCAACAAGGAGTGCGTTTGGGCTGCAACAGCTCTCAAACTGCGTTACGATAAATTGTAACATTCCTATAAATGTGCTTCCTCAAAATGCAGGAAACCAGGCCACGCTGCCCATCCCTGAGAGCCGGGCTCCGGACTCCCACGGACCGGGCCCCGGTCCCGCCCCCTCGCCTCTCGCTGTGGGCCCTCCCCCACCCGAAGCCTCGCTCAGGGCCGTCGGGAGCACCGAGTGACGGCCCGGTGCCCGAGCTCAGGAAGGGCTCGCCGAGCCCTGGACACCAACCCTACGACGGACTAACGGCAGGCCCCCGGGCCCCTTCCTCTGCCGACGTGACTGGCAGCCCGTGGCTTCCTTCACGGGCCAGAGCGGAACCCACGAGCATCTGCAGCACGTGTGTTCCCCTGAGCGACATACGTGCTCACGGGCCTGGGGCTCAGAGGCAGCACTCGTGCGTCCGTGTGTTCAATAAACACCGGAGAGCCTGCCACTGCTCGCCCCGGAAACGAACTGGAACCTGCAGGGGTCTCTGCTGCACGGCTACCTCGCGCCGGCAGGTGGCCGAGAGGGACGCGGCGCCCGCGCACTGCACCGAGAAAACCCAGCCGCCTGCCCCACCAGGGGGCCCTGCCTGGACCCGCCAGGCCGCACGCCGGGCAGAGCGCGCCTCTCCCCCTCCGGGTGCCCCTGACCTTGGAGAGGCGGCGCCCTCAAACAACCCCTGCAGAGGAGAAGCTCAAGTTCAGGCTTATTAAGCAAGATTGAGTCAAAGCATCCTTTTCTCCCTGCGTGTCTAAAACAGGTTATTTAAAGTAACTGCATGTGGGGATGTGTGCAGTAAAAATGCACTTCAGGGCATGGTCGTTCTCAGAAAACTCCAGGACGTGTTTACGTGTTACCATTTGTAACAACGTCACCCAATGACTTTAAAGTTTAAAGCAGACTGAAGCGCCTTCGCAGCCACCTGGCAAGCCACCCACGGCCACGCGGTCAGAGGGGTCCCAGCCTCTGAAAAGCCGTGAACCAAACAGACGCTCTGACGTGGCTGCTGTGCCTTTTTGTTTTTACAGAAATCACTTAAATCAGAAAAAATCACAGCACACAGACATTCCAAAGGAAAAAGCCCACAACTGCTTTCTCTTTCGGTGCCGGGAACCGGATTGAGAAATCCTGGTGACCTCGGTGTGGCAGGGGTCACACACAGAGTGAGTGACACGTCAGCCCCGCAGAGCGAGCACGGCGCCCACCGCGGAAAACCGCAGCTCCTTCCTGCTGCACGGGGAGGGGAAGGGGCCGGCTCCGGGCCACCTGCAAGTCCGACGGGCTCCAGCGCCGGCCTGCCCTGCAGCCCGGCTCAAGTCCACAGGGACTCGGAGCGCCCCGGGCGCCCTCAGCGCCACCAGAGTTGTGGGCCCAACTCTGGTGCCAACGGGTCTCCGTGCTTCGGGAGAGACGGGAGCAGAACCAGCACCAGCGCCGCGGGAGCCCGCTCATTCGGACCAGAGGGGGCCCTGGAGGGGTGCTCACCGGGTGGGGAGGAGGGCGAGGAGAGGCTGTGAGATTCAAGAGGACACCAAAAAACTCAGCTCTCGTGTAAGTGATGCTGCAGTGCCACTTTCGACATTCAGAATTCACGCAGGACACCCACAGTGGCCCACAGGTCAGAGTGCTGCAGGCAGACGGGACCAGCACGACTGACTTTCCCTCCTGCCTCTGGGGACGGCACTCACTGAGCCTCACAGAAGGCTGGCGAGGGGCTCCGCCGAGGGGAGGGGCTCTGCCAGGAGCCCAGGTGGGCAAGGCTCGGGCCGGCTGGCTGCCGGGGCAGGGGGGGGGGGGGCGGGAGCGGCGGGTGACGGTGACGACTCAGCAAGGCTGGGGAAAACAACATTCTGCTGAGTAACAGGGAAATGGATCTAACACATATGGATTGAGTTCTTCTGAAAGTAAACATAATTTTTAAAGGAAAGGAAAAGTACTTAGCCACGATGTCTGAGGTTTCCTGAACCCAAACCACCTTTGGAAAATTAGCACACGAGCAGATTACTCAGTGACTGTTAACACATCGGCTTTGAAACAGACTTGTCATAAACCGCTGGTTTGTTTTTCAAACTTTTTCAATGGTTTGCCCGAATCGGCCCCACTACCCACTCCTTGTGAGGTTCACTCCTGTTTTCTTGACAGGAAGGAGACAGCTCAGGACCCCCGGGACACGGGGCTGCAGGGGACCAGGCTGGGAGTGACTGGCCCCGGCACACGACAAGGGCAAGAGCCCCGGAAGGCAGGCGGGCGGGGGAGGGGTGCACTGGACTGGGAGCTGGACAGACACCCAAGGTGCCGCCCTTCACCTGCTCTGTCCCCGTGGGCGCCCGTGTCCCATCGCCCACCTGCAGGCGCCTCCGCCCCGACGGGCGCAGACTCGCGGGGGTGTGGAGGGACACAGACGCGCCGCCTGGCGAGCGGGTGCAGCGGACAGCTCGGCTCGCCACTGCCGCCCTGACCGTCGCAGAGGGTCGGGGGAGCCGGGTCACCTGTGCCAACAGGTCAGGGTGACCTAAGAGCCAGCCTCAGTCCAGGCCTAGGAAGCAGGAAGAGGCCGAACCCCGTGGTTTGGGAGTCAAGTCCCAAGTTCACAATGTGCCAGTATCCACGACTACGGAGACTGACGCGAAGACGCAAAGACCTCTGGACGCGAGGCAGATGCCCCCCTTTGGTGAGGCTGCCCACGCAGCCCCCAGGACACCTGACACCTGACACCACCCTCTCCTCCTCCCGCATCCCCTGGCCTCCCCCCAGGGCTGGGGGGTTTCCTGCCCTCTGGAGACCCTCACTTCCATTTCCTTAAATCAGTCACGTGACTCTGTCTTAGAGCTGGCTGTGCCCAGGGCTCCTTCCCCGCCCCAAGGCCTAGGACCACCCGGCCTCGGGGGTGGGGGCCCCCTTTGGGCACAGCCCCTTCCCGGCCGATTCCCCTCCAGGAGAGCCAGGCAGAGGCCCCGCTGCTGGACCTGGAGCCCCCGCCCACCCTGTGCCGGCGTCTCCCAACCCGCCGGCCAGGCTTGCGGCCCCGTTTCAGCCCCACTTCCAAACTACCCTGCCCTCACATGTGGCTGCTGTTTTTCTCTCAATCCTCACCTGAGGGTTTTTGTTTTGTTTTTTTTTTTAGAGAGAGAGAGAAACATTGATCCGTTGTCTCCCATACACGCCCCGGCCGGGGATTGAACTGGCAACCTTTCTCTGGTGCATGGAACAGCGCTCCAACCTCCGGAGCCACCGGCCAGGCAAGTGGGGCCTGCCTACGTCAGTGAAAAGGGTGCCAGACCCTGGATGGAAACAAGCTGGCTTTTTCTCGCCGGCTTTTACAGAATATGAAAACTCTTGGGAAATCAGACAAGATCAATCGGTGAGACTGAAAATAAAAAGCCCGTTGGTGCAGGCTCGCGGCCCGGCTGGCCTCCGCGGGGACTCGGCTGCAGCGGGGCTCCCTGGGCCGGCAGCTGCCCCATGTCCTTTCCCTCCGGCCGCCCACGACCTGCGCCTGTCAGACTGTCACACACGGGGAGTTCAGGCTCCTCGGCATCGACAACTGTTCCCACAGAAACCAGCGAGACGTCAGAGTGTGAAGAAGACGCAGTAAGACAAACCACAAGAAAACCAAGGTGACAAATTAACCTGACTGCCAAAAGCAGAAGGAAGGGGCCCAGCTCAGAGGCTTTCAAACTGCGCTGCCCGGAGCCCAGAGAGCCCCGCGCAAGCCCTTGGAGGGTCTCCGGACCAAAGCTGAGGCCCAACTCCCAGCCCAGCCTCCTCTCATGCCGTCCGTGAAGACCACGTAGTAAGACTTTGCCGGAAAAAACGCTTTATGGTCAAAGGAACCTGAAACCATTGGTCTAAGAGACTAAGGACCCAGGCACCTCCAGCTGCTCGGAGGACTCTCTCGAGGTCTGGGCAGGCAAGGGTCTTCCACACCTGAGAGCTCGCAGCAGGTGAGAGGTCAGGCCTGCCTGTGCTTCTGGGTCTTTCCCCAGGGCCCTGTCCCTGTGAGAAGGGCCTTCTGAGCCCCACTCCCCACACCCTCCTGGGCCTCACCAGGAAGTTCCTGGAAACTGCTGACCCTTCCAGACCACCCCTTGCCTCTTCTCAGGGAAGCTGCCTGGGGTGTCCTCTGGCTTCTCCGGTGCCCCAGCAGGCCCCTGCCCACCAGCCCTCCTGACCCGTCTGTCCTAGCCCGTCACACAGCACGGCACCCCCTGACTGAGGGGTCGGTCCCCTGCTAGACCGTTAGCTCTGGAGCTCGGGCACCATCCATCCAGCTGGGCCTCTGCAGGGGCTGGCCCAGAACGCAACCAGAACACCGGGGGGCACCTCTCCTCTGCTCCCAGCTGCCGCAGTGGGTGACCTCAGATGGCACAGGCCAGCTCCCACTACAGGAAAACCACAGAGTGGGGAGGGAGGATGTAACTGAGCTTTCAATTTCATTTTCAGGTTCAAAAAAACCCAAAACAGTTGTGATCTTTAGAGTCGAGAAAAGTTGTAAACATTTAAACAACTGCATTCTTGGGTCTGGAAGGAGAGTGGAATGAAATCCCCAAGTGATCTCTTAATGCCACCAAAATCGCACTTGCACGCCTCTGCCAGAAAAGATGAACCTCCACTTGCACAGCGGTCATGCACTTAAAAGTGACTGGGTGCAGAGAGCTTTGGAAAATGTATTATGGCAGGGAAAAGGGAATGCAAAGGGGTTCCAGATATTTAGTATACTGATAAGACAGCTTAAGAGTGACAAATGATTCTCTCTGAGAATTTGAAGGGTCGTGGTAAGGCCATCAGGAGGACCTAGGCCAGCTGGCCCCAGCCCCTCAGCCCTCGGACATGAGAAGCCACCCCAGCGCTGACTCGGAATCACCGGGAGTGAGTGAAGACGCAGGGAGCCCAGGGACCAGCGCCGTCACCTGGGACCTCGTCAGAAACGAGGCGCCCCAGCCCTGCCCAGCCCGAACCTGGTTTGAACGAGTGCCCTTGTGACCCCAGGAAGGCCGAGCAGTGCAGTGGCCCCTGAGGGAGTGTGGCCTCCTGCCCCCCGAGGTCCGGCACAGACACTCAACGTGCCAGGAGGGCTGGTTCCGAGACCTGCCTTCCCTGGGACGCACAGTGCCAAACGGCTAGGCTCTCTAGGGACAAACAGGCGGGGTTTCTGAAGGCAGTCGTGAGGTCACAGCGCCTTACACCCAAGGAATAGGCTGCCCGGGTAGGAGACGTGGAGACGGAGCCTCAGCCGCTCCCCCGTGCGAGCAGCCAGGCTGTCAGGAGCGGGAGAGAGGAAGCCTGCTCCAGTGAGGGAGTGCCAGGGAGGCGGCCTGCCTCTGGCCCAGGAGTCACGCGCCTGGGGCAAGGGGGCACTGGCACCCCTGGAGCCCCGCTGAGCCCAGAGACAGCCTGGAGAACAGCAGGGCGGAGGAGACCAGCAGCCCCTCTCCCTCTGGGCATGGCGTGTGCGTCCTGGCCCCCGGGAAGCCAGGCAGCACGCAAATGCACATTTGATGACCTTTCTCTGCAGGCAGCCTGCTCTCTGAGGAGCCGAGTGCGCACACAGCCCGGCCCAGAGCGGACAGAGGGAAAAGAAGGCACCGGCAGGCCTGCAGACAAGCTAGGACGGGCCCTGGAGAGAGTGGGCTGGGGCGAAGAGATGCACAGCAGCCACTCCGGTGGCCACACATCTCCCAGCTTCCCGGTTCCCGTGGGCCGGGCTCCTGGGAAAGCAGCTCGGGGCCCAGGTGAACGCCTGGCAGAACGGTCAGAAGGCGCTGGGCACGGAGAAGTCTCCCTCTGAGCACAGCCGCCCTCCCCTCCTGACCGACCCAGACACGCGGGAGGGAGGGCGCGATCCCTGCCGCTCCGCTGCCCGGAGGAAACTGAGCCGCCCGCACGTAAGGGTGGGAGCCACGCAACGCGCTGACCACGCCCGGCTCTGACGGGATCAGTCGTGGGGCACGCGCCGTCCCAGGAGAGACGAGGCCTGCGCTGCTCCCCGACACCGCCCTCCTGGCCGCACCCCTCACGCACGAGGCTGCGGCTTTCACGACCCCAGCCCGCCTGCTCGCGTGCCCTTCTCTCCCAAGCGGCAGTGCCCACGCAAAGGGCACGTCCCCACAGCACCGCGCTGCTCTGCCGGTGCCACCGACGGCACTGGAAGGGGGCCGCAAGGGCGCCTGAGAGGGACTGACTCACCCCACGTACCCCACCCGCCTTCCCTACCCAATGCCCCTCTCGCCAGTCCGTCCGTCTGTCCCGGACACGGGGATGCTGCTGCTGTGGACAAAGTGCCAGAGGAACCACGGGGAGCCAGCCCCTCTGCAGCCCGCACCACCCTCACTGCAGCCGTGTTCCCACAGAGGCCCCCCGGTGTCCTACCAGAACCAGAGCTGCCTGGGGGTCCTGAGAAGACAGCCAGGACTCGGAGGTAGCCCATTCACGCCGCTGGTGGGTGCCCGTCACAGGAAGACACCCAGCATCTGTGGGCTGCGTCCGGTACCCCCACTGCCTTCAGGTGGGGGGAGTGGAGATTCCTTCTGGCCTTCTAAGAAAAAAGAAGACAAACAACCTAGCACCAGAATGTGAAACATGCAGAGACACACACACACACACCACACATACTTTTGGGGGGAAACCCAATGTAACTGTGAGATCAGGCCCATGGTGGCCCCACTACCCAGACGTCCGCAGGGGGTCCCACACTGGTGACTTCCGCCGAAACGGGTGGCCAGAAGGGACACTGAAATCCAGCTGGGCCCCAGGACGTGGCCAGAGCCCCGGGCATGGCGAGCATCCCGGTGAGGAGCTCGCAGCTCAGCAGGGCTTACCCACGGGGAAGGGAGGTACTTCCAGCCTGGGCAGGACCCCTGAGGGGCTCCGAGACCAGGGGCTGCCCAGGGCAGTGGGCCCTCCCTTCCCCTGCTGTTCCCCAGAGGCCGCCCCCCATCCGTACCCAGGTGGACCTCGCCCCCATCAGGACAAGGAGGCAGGCCCCTTGGAAGGCCCTGCGTTCTCCCGAGAGAAGGACCAGAAAGATGGGATCGTGAGCACCAGAGGCTGTGAGGACAGTTTGAAAATGACTTACTTTATCTTTCCTCCAAGTGGTGCCGGCGGGAAAACAGGTGACTGACTTGACTCATCTCACAAAAATTCTTCCATTTTTCTTTGGATTTGATTTTTTTTTTTTTTTGCATTGTGATCAACTTCAGCACCTGCACAGATTCCATCCATCAAGCTCTCACACATGGAAACGAACCGGGGTCCCTAGGAAACAATGACGAGGTTGGGACAGAGGGCAGAGGGCTGGAGGACCAGAAGGCCAAAGGCAGGCACGCCTGGCTTTGGAACACACATGACCCTCCGTCAGAGCTTTCTCTGGGTGCAGCGCTGGGCGAGGGGCTTTACCTGCGCCCTGTAATTCTCAGTAGCAACCCAGCAAAGTCAACAGTGCTGTCCCCAACTTACAGACAAGGAAACAGGCACAGAGACTAGGTGACTCTTGAAAAGTCACACATGCTGTCTCCAAAAATATAAGAAGCTCAACTGATGTTGCTCTTCATGGGCCTTATCAGTCACAGACAGAAGCAGACCCGATGTCCTTGCGTTTTTAAAGTGGGGGAAGGCTCAGACGTCCGTGTACACGGAGACGCCAGAAAAGGAGAGCCCCTTTTCCGTCACTTCTCTCCCGGGGAGGGACACGTGGCATTCGTGCAGCCTAGCCCCACAGGCTCTCCCCCAGGTTCCCAAGCAACCAGCGAGGGAAACCAGATGCTGGTTCAAGAGGAGCCACTGGAGCTTCCTTAGGAGTGCTAAGCACGTGGGCAAAAACAGGATCCGAAAACAGCATGGCCGCTTTTACAAATAAATGCACGAGCCCTTTCTCTACAAACTTGCTCTGACCCCTTCCACTCGGCCACTGCACCTGTGAAACTAACGCATGCTCCCGATGCCATACTCATTAAGGAATGTAACAAAACAGGACACCGCCCTAGGACACGCACAGAAAGCAGTCTGCGCGGCCGCTGGTTAGGTCTGGCTTTCCTGCGCGCCTCCGCCGGATGCTGCAGGGGCCCCTCGGAGACACCTGCACCGCCCCGGCTGCAGGCTGAGCCAGGAGCCGGCACAAACCACGCACTCTGCTCCTGAACGGCTCAGCGCGCCTGGGGACAGGACACCTGCGCTCCTGCAAACTAGCCGCCTGTCCTTTCCTGCCCTGTGCCCGAATCCCCCGAGTATGGGAGGGAGGCACGCGACTTCCCAGAGACCCAGGGCCCCAGACCCGCGCGGAGGAAGCGGCTGGGAGCTGTCCATGGTGGCGCCGCGCCTGGGCACGCACGGCCTCGGGCTCCCAGCCCCCGGGCGCGCCCGGGCTCTCTCTCCAGACCGCTGGAATGGAGAGGCTCGCTCCAGGCTCACCATCTCCGGGATGGGGCGGCAGCCAGGCGATGGCTCACACATCAAAAGGTTAGTTCAAAAGGGAGTTCTCACCTGTGGGCAGCGCTGGCTGCAGGGAGCCGGACTCGGGACTTCAAATCCGGCTGCTGGCTGCGCGCAGTGCTGGACCCTTGGTCGCCGAGGGCGCGGAGTGCAAGTCTGCGGCCGAGGACCTCGGCGCACCGAGCTCCTTCCTCAGGGGCACATGCGTCCCGCCAGTCCGTTCCAGAATGTCTCCGACCCTCGTTCCCAGAGCAGTGAGCCGGGGACCTGCGCTCCGCCAGGTCCCTGCCTTTCTTCCCGACCTAATTTGACCTTTCTCGGAGCCAGTATCCCTTGCCAGGGACCACCGAACCCTCTTCCAGAGGTGCCGGGTTTGGAATCTCAATCTAAACATCCGCGGGGGCCCGCAAGCGATCTAACGTTCGATTGTTTCCACCCGGTCAGTGCCGGCGCCACGCTGGGTGTCTAGCGCGGTCCGGGAGGCGGAGGGGGAACCAGAGAGAAGACGGGCCGAGACCGGCGGCAGAGCGCACGCCCACTGTGCTCGGCGCGAGCGGCTCCCTGCGGGCTGGACTCTGCAACCTGACTCCCAGCAGTCCCTCCGCGGGGCACTCGGCTGGGCTTGCGCCCCGGGAGCCGTTCAGAATCTACGGAAAACTAGGCTCTGTCCCCGCTGGATGCGCTCCAGGGACACTGGCGCCCCTGGCACCTGCCGCTTGCAAAGGATCACACAATCGCAGAGAAATCTCAAAGAGGACAGTGACAGGGGCGTGTACAGTGACGGACGCATGGACGAAAAGACAGACGGACAGAGGCGAGCTGCACAGCACAGAGTGGACAAACAGAAGCCGTTGCTGGGCAACGTTTTCCCGAGACCAGTGGCGCTGCTAGACCCCTCTCTCCCCTCCCCCGCCCCCCAGGCTGGGCAGTCGGCACGGCCAGGCGCGCCGGGCCGGCCCCCTTACCTCCCGGTCTGCAGCCCAGGCGGTGCCACGCCTCCCGGGCCGGGAGCGCAGGGACCGGCGTGTCTGGCAGCAGACCGCCGGACGTGGGCAGGCAGAGCAGCGGTTGGTCTGGGAAAGCGGGGTTCGGGCCCTGCGGTGCTCCCCAAGCCGCTTGCCTGGCCAGACTCGCCCGACTCCGCTCGGCTCGACCTCCCAAGCTGCGCTCTGCTCGCGATCCCCGCCGCCCGCCAGCGCGGCGGCTTTATAGCTGCCTGCTCGACAGGCAGCGCCGCTGGCTCCTCCCCGGGCCGCAGAAGCCCAGCCACAACCCGCCCCCGCCGAGCTCCGAGGAGGCGGGGGCCCGCGCCCCGGCCGGAGCCAGGCGCACGCAGAAGGCGCCTCAGCCTCCGGGTGAGGGCGCTGGAGCCCCAGACTCGGAGCACCGGCCGCGGCGCCAGAGCGCGCTCCCGGGGCCGCAGGGTGAGGGTCGCGGTGCAGGGGCATGAAACCCCACGCGCGCCGGTGGCTTCCCGGAGAAGGAGGACACGGAGGAGATGAGAAAGCCCTGCGTCTGCCACGGAGCCACCTCGAGATGGGGTTCAGACCTCCTTAGTGTCACAATCTTTTTTTTTAACTTACCAGGAAAGAGTGGTCTTAGAAACAGACCCTGGTATAGGCACCTAGCAGACCTCGGAGGGGCAAAGGGTTGGCTTCCAGTGGGAGACCTTCGCTTGAACCTGGGGTCAGGCACACCGGTTATGGGCCTCAGTTTCCCCCTCAGGGAAAGGGGTCCCGGACGCGCCCCTGCCGGAGTGAAGGGAGGAGCTAACGGAGGCTGAGAGGAGCGGTGGGTAGCCCACGGGGGTCCCGGCGAGTCCGAGTCCCGCTGGTCCGTGGGGAGGGCTCTGCGCTCCTCTAACCGGACAGATGAGACCCCCGGGGCTCGGGAAGGCTCGGGCGCTCCAGGAAGTGGTGCTCCAGGTAGTGCTTGCAGAGGGAAATGGACTACTGGCAAAAGCCCCCAACAGGTCCCCGGGCACCTGAAGTTCCCTCTGAGCTTGGCCACTACCTTGCATGTGACGGGGGCCGCCCACCGCCCTCTCTGGGTCTATTTATTGTCGGGAAACGAGGGCTTTGATACCAGTTCTCCGTCCCTCCTCCACTTTTTGCAGCTTATAGCTCAGCCCCCTCCCCTGGTGTCCTGGAGTGCCCCCCAGAAAACGCCTCTCCCCCTTCCTGTCAGCAGGTGCCCTTTGGGCACCAACCCTGCAGGGGGGTCCTCGCTCCGGGCAGCACACACCTGCTCCAGGACCCGACATCTGGCTCAGAGGCCGGGCTGCAGCCAGACAGAGGCCTGCTGGAGCCCTGGCCACGCCCTCCGGCCACAGCAGAAGCCTGATCATCCGGCACAGCGAGGGCTGCCCACCTTCCCCACCCCCCCGCCGGGCCGTGCCCTGGAGGCCCCCTGGGGTCAGTCATCAGGGTCCTCAGCCCTTCCTCAACAGGGGAGAGAACAAGTTGGGTGCTATGGCAGGCCTCCCTCCCCAGCCTTTCTTTCCAGCAAATTCAGAGGGAACCAAGCGTCCTTTCCCTTCCTTAGTAGGAGCCCCCACATCCCAGAACCCACAAGCGCCTGGCCTCGGTGGAGAAGGGTCGGTCAGCCTCGGGTCGACCGGCCCTTCTCCTGCTGGAGGACCGCAGACAAGAGGTCTGTGGGGCCCGTGTGCCCCGAGGGGGGCCTGCTCCCCAGGCCTCCCAGAGATGACACCGTAACAAAGGACTCCAGTGTGGTGATGAGCTCTCAGAAGTGCTTTGTCATGTTTTCTCAAAGCACAGAAATGCGCGGCACATTCCTCTGGCGTCCAGCTTTCTTTATCGCAGACCAGCGCCCCAGGGGAAAGAGCGATGCTGATGAGTTACAGACAGGCTGCGCGCCTGAAGCCAGATGCCTCGGCCCGGCCCGAGCTCCACGCGCACTCCCACTCAGCACCCAGTGATGGACGGGCTGTGCCGGGCGGCTCTGTGGACGGAGCTGACAACGTCACTCTGGACGAACGGCGACCCGAACTGCCCTCTCTCCAAGCTCTTGCTCTTGTAAGTGCAGATGTGGGAGCTGGTCACTCTTGTCACAGTCCCCAGTGGAGAGTGTCCAGGAGGACAGGAAATGCTCCGACAGGTGTGACATTGCCCAGAAAGCCTGCCCTTCCTCAGGTAGGGTGCAGCCCCCTCCCCCACACCTGTTCACGGCTCCCACAAGCTGCCCAAGCCCTGCATTCCTAGACCCAGGTCTGTCCTTCAGCTCAGGGGTCACCACACCACCTGCTGACCAGCAAATCCAGCCCCTAGCCCTAGAGCAGCCCACATGAGAAGTTACAAAAGCAGGCCATGCCTGAGGCTCCACCCTCCAAGCCTCCAGATCCGGTTTCACTGAGGGGAACATCAGGCAAGCCTGAGGAGACCGGGGCCTGGAGAGGGGGGAAGCAGCAGGCGGCTGGGGTCAGGGGCGAGTGTAGCCCACCCCCAGAAGCATCAGGCATTGCAATCTTAAGAGGGTCAAAAATCATGGTCATTTTAAAGTTACACCAACAGGGGTCGCCCTTGCACACTGAGCCTGAAGCTGGCATCTGAAAAGGGAACTTCCCGCCCCGGGCACTGGGGCCCGATTTCCAGGACGTAGAAACTGCTCAGTTCCTGTTTTGTTGGATGCAAATGAAACTGCCCAGCCACGGAGACAAATCCTCAGTGTTTCTGGCGAGTGCAGGTCTGAGCTGGAATGCGGGACGGGAAGTCCTGGAACGCTGGCCAACCACTAGGGGCTCTGCAGGCGGATTTCTACATCTTCCTGTTCAAATGCATCATCACGCAAGAGAAAGAACATTCTTCTCTCGTGTTGTTTTGTGTCTATAATGAAAGACATGTAAACCTGTGTGTGTTTTTATGTCACGAGTTTTTTTCTAAGTGCAAAAATCATGTGCTCCTTGCAAAGAACTGAATTCAGATGATGAACAAAGGAGAAATCACCTAACTGCAAACGCGACCGTGCATTGCAAAAAGCTTGAAAAATATGGAAAGGGAAAAAAATCACTTCTATTCAAAGATCATCTCTGTTAATGTCAGTACACAAGCAAGTATGTCTGCATGCCTAAGTTACATGTTACATAGATGAACAGGTACATGCACGTATGTAAAGTTTTCCATACAGAGTTGACTGTTTAGCTCTAGTTCTTCTCCCCGGACTGCAGGTCTGGGCGACAGAAGCCGAGCCAGTGCAGTGCACTCCTGCACCTACCGGAGCTCCTATGGTGTCCAACCATCACGTGCAGGCCTGTCCGGGAAAAGTCCAGCCATTGCTACTACGATGAGAACGGTTTGTGTGACGTCGATGTGACCTGGCAGTCAAGGAGAGTGGACTGGACTGCGCACGCGTGAACAATGACACCCTCACTGATGCACTAGTCAGTGGGGGCAGCAGACGCCCTTGA